AAATCTAAATTAATTGGAGGAGAAACACAACCACTTCAATCCAATAACAATTTAAGAACTCCTGGCTTTTCTCAACTATACACCTGACCCTAAAGCATGCCCTGCAGCTGGTAGTCCCTGATACACTCAGCCAACCGTGCAGCCAGGGATAACAGAAAGGCTCCAAACCTGGGAGTCAGGAGACCCAAATATTAATCCTGGGTCATCTCTATCTCACCCACGTAGCCTTGGGCAAGGGGCTTTACTTCTCTGGATGATTTCAGTCTCCTTTCTAACACATTGAAGTACTGAATCTGGTTCTTTTGGTTATGAAGATTAATTTAAGTGTTACTTTTGTCATGACCTAGAAATTCACATTACCCAGACCATCAAGAAGGAAACTTTTAAGCCAGGCTCGGTGGCTCAGCCTGTAATTCCAGCGCTTTGGGAGGCTGAGGTGAGTGGATTGCCTGAGCTCACGGGTTCGAGACCCGCCTGGGCAACTTGGCGAGACCTCATCTCTACAATAAATCAAAAATTAGCCAGGCGTGGTGGCGCATGCCTGTAGTTCTAGCTATTTGGAAGGCTGAGGCGGAAGGATCACCGGAGCCCAGCAGGTTGAGGCTGCGGTGGCCGGGAGCGGCCACTGCACTCCAGTCTGGGCGACTGAGTGAGACTCCAACTCAAAAAAAAAAAAAAAAGAGCAAATTTTTAAGCCAGGCTCGGAGACTCAGCCTGTAATCCCATGCCTTTGGGAGGCTGAGGTGAGTGAATTGCCTGAGCCCGCGGGTTCGAGATGCGCCTGGGCAGCGAGTCCTCATCTCTACAATAAATCAAAAAATCAGCCAAGCGTGGTAGCGTAAGCCTGTAATTCCGGCTACTTGGAAGGCTGAGGCGGAAGGATCGCCGGAACCCAGCAGGTCAAGGCTGCGGAGCGGCCACTGCACTCCAGTCTGGGCGACAGAGTGAGACTCCAACTCAAAAAGAAAAGAAAAGAAAAAGAAAAACTTAAAACCCTTCCACTGATGGGTTTGTTCTCTTCTTCCTCAAGCTCTCTGACAGCAGGAAGCTGGTAGGGTCACTGCTGCATCCACAATGCCTAGAACAGGCGCTCGTGAAAAAGAGCTGGAAAAAACCCAGAATTTGTGCATTCACCTGACAGATATTTACTGAGTATCCACTGGGTGTCAGGCACTGTTCTGGGCAGCGGGCAATGGAATGGATAAGCGAACATACAGTGAAAACCAACAGGCGCTACATCGGCGCTTTCCTTCAAAGTCCAGTGTATAAACCTAGTAAGATCCCCGCTGTCCGCTTTCCAAGGCCTTGTTCGGGTGTCCCAGTCTCCCCCCTTTGTCCCAAGTGCTCAGACTTGGCCCCTGATTCATAACCCCCTTTGTTAATGTAACAGAAGACACAGAAACAAATACTGGAGTAGATTGGAATTAATGTTTATTAACGATAACCTACATTCACACCGTGCAGGTCTAAGATTTACATCCAAAGAGCGTACGGTATTTACATGCATCGGGCAGTCCAGGATGACAGATTCAAACCATGGCTGCGTGAAGACTGTGGTTTGTTCCAAATTAAATTAAATACCCAATACTCTTACCTCCCCCCTTTCAACATGTACAGTAAAAACCCACTCTTCCTCCTTTTAAGGAATAGAAAATTGCATTGATAACTGCACTGATTAGCAACAATTACATCTGAACATTTAAAACCTGAGAGAGAAGCCCAAACACGTTGAAGCCCTAACACGTCTACACTGGAATCCATGTGTGAACACGATGGTCATTGCTCGGATTGCTTAGTGGTCAATAGGATACGATCTGGCTGGCTCTGATGGACATGGCCGCCGGCCGCCGGCTTTTGGCAGGAATCTAAACTTGCCCCGGGTGGAGTGGGCACCTTCCCCCAGCCTGCTTGATTTGCACATCACAGATGGCCGGGGGGGTTTTGTTACTGCTGCTGTCTTGTCTTCTGTTTTCATTTCTTCTTGTTTTGAAGCAAAAAAAAAAAAAATCTTTGGCCCATTTAGGTGGGATTTTTACATGACAAAATACACATTCAAAACAAAACAAAACAAACCCCATGTATTCTTCAGCAAGTGCCTTCTGTCTACTGCACCAGTCCAGCTCTCAGTTTGGTACCATCAGAGTGCAGAACTCTGGAGGAGGCAAGCCCAACTAGAACAGAGTGGTCCGAAAAGAAAGACACGGTTTCCAAAATGGACCGCCGAGCCTAACATGACGGCCCAGAGGCAGCGGGAATATTCCATTCCACGACACTTTGTGTTTCCATTCAATACTGGAGATAACTCAGTGCATAATGGCTTTGCGGTCAGTCAGACGCTTTCAAGAAAGGCACTCCGATCAGAAGGACAGGCTGTGTGAACCGAGCACTGTCACTTGCGACGCATTGGTCTGTCACTGAGATGCCGTTACACTTGACCTCCAGGGCCTTCAGAAGTGACGGCGTGTTTTCTCGCGTACCAGGGGGCGCTGCACGCTCCCGACCATGACCATGGCTGTGGCGGGGCAGCCCTGACTTTTCTCAAGTGCGGTTCCTTCCTCAGTGACCCCTGGCCCACTCTCCTGGCTGTCACTCAGAGCAAGCAGGGACGCCGAGGCGCGGGCTATATTTCATGCTTGTATGAACCCTCCAGACACATCCTACGTGAACGTCTTGCCCCTAGTTCCCCTTGATTCCTATGATTTATTTGTTTGAGTCTGGGTCTCACTCTCTCACCCAGGCTGGAGGGCAGTGGCACGATCACAGCTCACTGCAGCGTCGACCCCCGCCCCCGGGCTTAGGTGATCCTCCCACCTCAGCCTCCCGAGTAGCTGGGAATACAAATACAGAGGCGTGCCACCGTGACTGACTAATTTTTTAGTTTTGTGTGGAGACGGGGTCTCACTATGTTGCCCAGGCTGGTCTCGAACTCCTGGACTCAGGCGATCCTCCCGCCTCGGCCTCCCAAAGTGCTGGGATTACAAGCATGAGCCACCACACCCGGTCCCGGTATTTCCTTTGTTGCTTAATGACAACCAAGGAGGCAGTCGAAGGAGGGGAGTCCGGCATAGCTGCCCTCGCTGGTCTTCTTGGGGGGGTGTTGCGGGAGGGAACCATAGCAAACGCTCATGTAGGGTGATCCATGCTCGGTAAACTGTGAAGGGAACCATCCGCCCACGATTCCACCCAAGACTTCGCGAAACAAATCCATTCTCCCTCCCTTGCATGTAGGGCCGTCCGTTTTTAAGGCACTGGATTTTGGAGACATGATGACATACACGGTCCATAAAACGAGAACGTGGCACCCTGCTCGCTTCAAATGCGGAGACTCAAATCCAGACCACCACACCGGACGACGACAGGGTTCCCCGCGGTGACAAACACCCAAAGTGTTTTAAGTTAGTGCGTTACACGTGTGTTAGCTGGCAACTACACTTTCTTTCGACAGATCAAACGTTTCTAGCGCTCTGGTGCCGTTCAATGCCCTTAAATACCAGGCAGCGGTCGCCACGAGGAAGCAGGCCCGTTCGCGTCCAGGGTGCGTGCAGGCACGACCCTGCTCACCCCTCACTCGGTTCCACGGTGATAAACACGGGCCGATGCGAGGTCGGGAGGCGGGGACGTGATCGGACGTGCCCGGAGGGAGGACGGGCCTGGAAGTAGGAGGGTTATGTTTCACGTGGCACAGCTACTGTTCTAGAAAGACAAAAAAACACCACACTTTTTCAGGCAGGGAAACTTCTGAGCTTTTAAGAGCCATGTTGTATCCTGAGCTGCCGTGAGGACGAAGATCTATTTTTGCCATTTGGTTTGTATCGGAAGAGTTCATTTTCCTCCACGGCAGCTCTCACGGAATTAATTTTTGGAATTAGTACTGAGCCCGAACAAAGTGATGATGTCAGTCATTGCCTGTTTCAGATGCTTTCCGAAGCGGTGGGAATCCTTTAATTTAAACACAAAAGACACACAAACAATGTAAACGTGGGAATAGCCACATGTCAAGTCTCTTCATTTGCAATCTGACTCAAAGATTTTTTTATTTGTTTTTATTATTATTTTTTGAGTCGGAATCTCACTCTGTCACCCAGGCTGGAGTACTGTGGCACACTCACAGTCCTCGCAGCCTCGACCCGCTAGGCCCAGGCAATCCATCTGCCTCAGCCTTCCAAGTAGCTGGAACTACAGGTACGCGCCACCATGCCTGGCTAATTTTTTGATTTATTGTAGAGACGAGATCTTGCTAAGTTGCCCAGGTTGGTCTCGAACCCAAGGGCTCAGTCAATCCTCTCGCCTCGGCCTCCCAAAGTGCTGGGATTATAGGTGTGAACCACTGGGCCCAGCCTTTATTTATGTTTTAAGTCGGAGTCTCACTCTGTTTCCTAGGCTGGAGTGCAGTGGCACGCTAATGGCCGCCACAGCCTCGACCTCCTGGGCTCGGGCGATCCTTCTGCCTCAGCCTTCCAAGTAGCTGAAACTACAGGCACACGCCACCATGCCCAGCTAATTTTTTTGATTTATTGTAGAGATGAGGTCTCACCATGTTCCCCAGGCTGGTCTCAAATCTGCGGGCTCAGGCAATTCTCTCGCCTCAGCCTCCCAAAGTGCTGGGATTACAGGCATGAGCCACTGCGCCCAGCTTTGATTTTATTTTTCGAGTGAAGGTCTCACTCTGTTGTCCTGACGGGAGTGCAGTAGCACAATCAGGGTTCACTATAGCCTCCACCACCTACGCTCAGACGATTCTTCCTCCTCAGGCTCCCAAGTAGCTGGGACTATAAGCATGCGCCATCATACACAGCTAGTTTTTTGATTTATGGTAGAGATAAAGTCTTGCCATGTTGCCCACGCTGGTCTCGAACCCCTGAGCTCAGGTATTTCTCTTGTCTCAGCCTCCCAAAGTGCTGGGACGACAGTCTTCAGCCACCACACCCAGCCTCACAGTTTAATTCAAATTTCTTTTTGCCTAATGGCTTAATGATTGACATATATTCTGGAAAAATGCTGAGGGTAACAGAGATGACACTTTATGTGGGGATGTGGTTCTTTTTTTTTTTGGAGCAGGTTCTCATTCTGTCACCCAGGCTGGAGGACAGTGGCACGATCATGGCTCACTGCAGCCTCAGATTCCCGAGCTCAGGCACACACATGCCTCAGTCTCCTGAGCAGCTTGGACTAGAGGCACACACCACCATGCCCAGCTCACTTTTTGATCTTGCTTTTGTACACACAAGGTCTTGCAATGTTACCTCGGCTGGTCTCCCAGCAATTTGGGAGGCTGAGAGGGAGATTGCTTGAGCCCAGGAGTTCGAGACCAGCCTGGGCAACATAGCGAGACCTCGACTCTACAAAAAATGAAAATAATTAGCCAGGCATTGTAGTGTGTGCCTATGGTCCCAGTTGCTTGGGAGGCTGAAGTGAAAGGATTGCCTGAGTCCACGAGGTCAAGGCCTCAGTGAGCTATGATTGTGCCACTGCACTGCAGCCTGGGAGACAGAAAGACCTTAATGCAAAAACAAAAGAAAAGAAAACTAGGTTAAGAAGATTTTAAAATCCATTGACTTGAAGATGTCCAAACCAAGCAAAAGTTGACAAGTACATTGAAACTTTTCTGTCAAATCAAAGACGTGTTTCCTTAAGAAATATCCACCTTCAGAAAAAGGAATTTATTTTCATACTTACCGTCTCAGGGCAAGAGAACTTGGAAGAAATATGGAAATTGATGAGGTTCTCACCCACAAGAATGTATGACACACCATAGCCGTCATCAGCAACCTGGAAACAAAGTCAGTCCAAGTTTAGCATTGGGAAATGAGATGACATGGAAAAGGAACTTCCTGACATTCTTTTTTATTTTTTTTCTGAGTTGGAGTCTCACTCTGTCGCCTCTACCTGCTGGGCTTCAGCGATCCTTCCGCCTCAGCCTTCCAAGTAGCTGGAACTACAGATGCACGCTACCACGCCCAGCTAATTTTTTATTTATTGTAGAGATGAGGTTTCCCCAAGTTGCCCAGGTGGGTCTCAAACCCACGGGCTCAGGCAATCCACTTACCTCAGCCTCCCAAGGCACGGGATTACAGGCTGAGCCACCGAGCCTGACTCGTGACATTCTTTTTTAACAATTTTTTGTCACTGTCACCCAGGCTGGAGTGCAGTGGCACAATCACAGCTCACTACAGCATCCAACTCTCGTGCCCGAGTCAGCCTCCGGCCTCAGCCTCTGGAATAGCTGGGACTCCAAGGGCATACCACTACGCCCGGCTAATTTCTCAATTTTTGTGTAGAGACCTGGCCCCGCAATGTTGCCCAGGCTGGTCTCCTTGATTCCTTGACTCCCGGGTTCAAGCGATCGTCTTGCCTCGGCCTCCCAAAGTGCTGGGATGACAGGCCAGAGCCACCGCACCTGGCCCCTTTCCGACACTCTAAATACAAGCCAGCCATCGACACCCGTGGCAGTCATCATCAGGAAATCCCCCATAACGGGAGTTCTAGAGCAACGAGGGGCCCTCAGAGCCGAAACGGGTCATCACGTCCCTCTGTGCACGTGGACTGTCACCTGCCACACTCACCGGCCCGAAGCCGCCTCCACTGGACACGTACTCGGGGTTGTTCTCCAAATCAAACAGCTCCACTTGCTGCTGGGGGGTCTGGCTGGTCGACAGTCTCCAAGGCTCAGACAAAACCTGGTGAGAGAAACAAGGCACGTTCAGAGGATGCTCTTCCTGACCCTTCCTCTTCTGACCCCAAAAGCTCCCTCCCTCGAGAAGACAAGAAAAGGCTCGCTCGGTCTGTGCACTGTTTCAGACACTGGATATCTGCACCCCCGAAGGTCTCCCTGGTTCAGGGCAGCACACTGCAGGGGGCGCAGGGCAGGCGAGGCCATCTGGTCTGGCAGGGGGTCGGGGCGACACCGGCCAACGGTGTCTCGGCCACAGAAGGGGGCAGGTTTAGGAAGTCAGGTCCAGAACAGGAGACGAAGTGTCAGATTTGTGCTCACTCCCGAGAGTCAACTGCTAAGTGTTCAGGAATTTTTCAAGCTGGTTGCTAAATACAGCTATTGAGCTGGGCTCGGTGGCTCAGCCTCTAATCCCGCGCCTTGGGAGGCTGAGGTGAGTGGATGGCCTGAGCCTGCGGGTTCGAGACCGGCCTGGGCAACTTGGCGAGACCTCATCTCGACAATAAATCAAAAATGAGCCGGGCGTGGTAGCGCGCGCCTGTAGTTCCAGCTACTCGGAAGGCTGAGGTGGAAGGATCGCCGGAGCCAGGTTGAGGCTGCGGTGGCCGGGAGCAGCCACTGCACTCCAGTCTGGGCGACAGAGTGAGACGACAACTCAAAAAAATAAATAAATAAATAAAAAATAAATAAATACAGCCGTTGTTAAAAATTAAATTGTAGAGGCTGGCTGTGTGGTTCGTGCCTGTAATCCCAGCACTTTGGGAGGCCGAGGCGAGAGGGTCGCTTGAGCCCAATAGTTCAAGGTCAGCCTGGGCAACACAGTGAGACCTCATCTTTATAAAAAATCAAAATAATTAGCTGGGCATGGTGGCGTGTACCTGTATTCCCAGTTACTCAGGAGGCTGAGTCAGAAGGATCACCTGAGCCCTGGAGGTCAAAGCTGCAGTGAGCCATGATTGTACCCCTGCACTCCAGCCTGGGTGACAGAGTGAGACCTCAACTCAAAAAAAAAAAGAATTTTATAAACTTGCAACAAAATCAATTATATTAAAAACAAAGGTGGCCAAGCACAGTGGCTCATGCCTGTAATCCCAGCACTTTGGGAAGCTGAGGTGGGAGGATTCCTTGAGGCCGGGAGTTCGAAACCAGCCTGGGCAACATGGTGAGACCTTCTCTCTACAATAAATCAAAAATTTAGCTGGGCGTGGTGGCATGCGCCTGTAGGTCTAGCTACTTGGAAGGCTGATGTGGAAGGATCGCCTGAGCCCAGCAGGTCGAGGCTGTAATGGGCGTGAGTGTGTCACTGCCCTCCAGCCTGGGCGATGGAGTGAGATTCTGAATTAATAAAAGGTTTTTGAAAAAACTGTATAACTCAAATTTTCCATTTTTATGAGCTGTGCCACAGACCCATTTTTTAGTGCCTGTTCCGATTTTCAAGGCTGTACTAATATACCAGGTTTTGATCTAGCCAATAAAATCAAGTGACAAGAAGAGGGGACTTGTGCCAGGTGTGGTGGCTCACGCCTGTCATCCCAGCCCTTTGGGAGGCAGAGGCAAGAGGACTGCCTGAGCCCAGGGGTTCAAGACCCGCCTGGGCAACATGGTGAGACCTCAACTCTGCAATAAATAAAAAAATCAGCTGGGCGTGGTGGCACGTGCCTGTAGTTCCAGGTTCTTGGGAGACTTGGGAAGCTGAGGCGGAAAGATTGCCGGAGCCCAGCAGGTGGAGGCCGTGGTGGCCGTGAGCATGCCACTGCACTCCAGCCTGGGCGACAGAGTGAGACTCCGACTCGAAAAAAAAAGAGAGGACTTACTTCCTTCAGGAAAGGCGAGTCCACGGCCAGATACTTGGACACGACGTAAAGGCAGAACAGGTGTCGGTCGATCCCGGCACCAGTCATGGCCAGTCGGTACAGGAGCTGATGCTTCTCGGAGGCCGCCTTGAATAACTTGAGCCTCTGAGCCACCTGCAGGTCAAGGGCGGGAAGGACATGCGCTGCAAGTCAGATGCAAGTTGCAAAATGAAAGCCAAGGTCAACCCCCCCCATGGGCTGACAGAGGCCCCTCCCTCCTGCCCTTGACTGACTACCCGTCCCCAGGTTCCTGCCTCGGATGGGGCGTCTCTGAGGCTGCCGGGCTGCGTGTTGGGGAAGCACTTTCGGGGTCCTCTGTGCAACCCGCCTGCCCGGGTATCATGTCACCTTTTTTTTGAGTCAGGGTCTCACTGTCACCCGGGCGGCAGGGCAGTGGCACAATCACGATCTCATCGCAGCCTCGACCTCCTGGGCTCAGGTCATCCTCCTGCCTCAGCCTCCCAAGTAGCTGGGTCTACAGGTGTGCGCTACTGCACCCAGTTTATTATTTTTTTGTAGAGACGTAGTCTCTCTACTGCCCAGGATGGCCTTGAACTCCTGGGCTCAGGTGATCCTCCTGCCTCAGCCTCCCACCTCAGTCCTCAGTCTTGGGTAGCTGGGACTACAGGCACACACCACCATGCCCAGCTAATTTTTAAAAATTTTTTTAGGCCCGGTGCCATCTCTCAAGCCTGTGATCCCAGCACTTTGGGAGGCCGCGGTGAGAGGATTGCCTGAACCCAGGGGTTTGAGACCAGCCTGAGCAACTTGGTGAAACCTCATCTCTATAACATATCAAAAAAAAAAGAAAATTAGCTGGGCGTGGTAGCGTGCGCCTGTAGTTCCGGCTCCTTGGAAGGCTGAGGCGGAAGGATCACCTGAGCCCAGCAGGTCGACACTGGGGTGGCCGTGAGTGTGCCACTAAACTCCAGCCTGGGTGACAGAGTGAGACTCCAACTCAGGAAAAAAAAAAATTGTTGTAGAGACGAGGTCTCAGGCTGTCCTCAAATTCCTGGGCTCAAGCAGTCCTCCTGCCTCAGCCTACCAAAGTGTTGGGATTACAGGCGTGAGCCACCATGCCTGGTGTATGTCACCTTCTATACAGATGAGATCACTAGGCAGGAAAGCCCAAGCTGAAAATTCTCATTGTCTGGGAATGAAGTTTCACTGCCAGCTGTCATAAATAGCCCTGCAATGTGGTTGGCGAGCAACTCTGCTGCAACAGCTCTCTGGGGCCTTTAAATCTATGACCCACGACGGTCGCTCAGGCTCTTCTGGGTTCTGTTACGTAAATCTCAGGATTGGGGCAACCACCCTTGGGGGGGTCTCTCCAGGCTTTCTCCTGCCTGTACACAACCTCGTCTTTTTTTTTTTTTTTTTGACTTGGAGTCTCACTCTCTCACTCTGTCGCCCAGGCTGGAGTGCAGTGGCTGCTCCCGGCCACTGCAGCCTCGACCTGCTGGGCTCTGGTGATCCTCCCACCTCAACCTTCCAAGTAGCCGGAACCA